TATATGATAATTGACTCTGTCTAACTAGGGCTCAGATAGTTACGCTAGACTACGCTTGGCAGCTTCCTTTCCATAGGAGTGGTTGCCTTGCGTTCCATTGCAGATGCCTAGCCTAGGCCTAGCAGCATAGGCCTAGGCTAGCTAGCTGGCCCTAGCCTACACTAAACGTGAGTGTGGCATTAAGTAAAATCGAATGGCTACCTGTTAGGTTAATTATCATAATAATATATTACATATCCATAATAGGCCTATGACTATCAATTTTCAAAGTACTTACATTTGAGTTTAGAGCAAGGAGACGAATTGCTTCGTGTACTAGCACCCACACACCGCACATCACACACAGGCCTAGCGCGCAAAAACAGAAAAGTTTCAATGACATCATCAATGCATAATTTGATTGGCCAGTTCTTACGTTTTTCGTCGTCAAAGTTGAACCCGTTTCAACTTCAACGATTGCTAACGATAACGATGTCTAGCGTCAATTTGCGATCGATTTTACCCCTTTTCCTGTAAATCGTTAAAGTTTACCGATATTCATAACGTCGGCGTTGAAGAAGCAACAATCCCTTTTCCTGTCAATCGTTATTTTTGTTTGAATAACGATTGAGATACCGTCGATTAACGTCGCTTAACGTCGACAGGAAAAGAGGCTTAAGGGGACACCTTCGAGACCAAAAAAAGTGTCTCCTTAATAGGGGTGTCCTCTGAATATACCCCTATTTAGGGACACTAACCGAAAATTTGAAATTGTCTTCTAATAGGGGTTTTTGGAGTGTGTTCTTTAAAATTTTATTTTAATTGATTCACATAAGAATGAGTTACAGTTGAATTATAACTAATTTATAACATAAAAATAATTCATTTAAGATATGAAATTAACAGATTATACAGTAATTATGTTATTAAAACTACAAAAGTTGTTCCTGGTTTTGTTTCCCTTAATAAGGGTTTCCTCTTATAGGGGTTTGTTGTAGCGTTAAAAGATATATTTCCCCCTATTTTACGAAAAAGTGTCCCCATAATAGTGGTGTCCCAAAGGAGGGGTTCTACTGTTATAACTTTTTAGCTTCACGTCAGTTAAACCGCGAATAGAAGCCGATGGACTATTTCTTTTTTAGGACCTTTGCGTGGACTTATTTTTGCAAACTATAGAGGGTGGCATTTTCTTTAATTTTCAACATGAATGCTAAATGCATGCTGTATGTGGAATTGGTACTATAAACCGTGTACAGTCAACCATGGAATTCGAAATTCTGTTTTAAAACTCACACAAATGAATTTTTTTTTTAAATTAAATTTCTAAACATGCCGACGACAGACAATCTGTTGGACCAACAAAATATATACATAAATTTAATTATATAATAAAAATTAAGCATTTGATATAATTATTACCATAATTGATAAGCATATGTGTATAATAAACGTGTGTACATTTGTAATACATTTAATTATATATACAATTTTCAACCTCCTAATAATGAATTTATATAGCCGCAGTTCTTCATGTAGGATTCTTACCTTGGTGATTCTTACCTTAATGAATTTAGGGGCAGGGAGTTTGTACGGAATTTAACCATGCTCAATAAAAAAAAATAGGTGCAAACAGAACGTCAGCCTGCATCGCATAGTATATAGAATAATTATTAACTGACATATAAACTATATACCAAGTGGAGTTTTGTGTATAGCTTTGGTCCCATGGTCCTGTATTCAATTCCTCGGTGAGAGCAGGATCTTCTCACGACTGAGTCAGTGAGTCAGAAAGAGAATTATTTTATAAAGCATCACACCTTTGGTATTTGGCTGGATGCGAATGAAATGAAATATATATTTATTCCTCTTTCTGTGACATTCATTTACAATATAAGTACCATCTCGAAAAGACGCCTAGTCCATTTAAAAGCTTTATAAGTAGACCTACGTTACCCACTGTCTTAAAGGAAAATTCCGAAATAGTAAATTTATAGTAAAAGTAACGATTTTAAATTTGTGTTCTCATTCTACTGGTTGTCTACCACCACCCCAGATATCGGACTCCAGACTCTTGGCCGATCTTCTTTCAAAGACCCTTGGAGGATTTTGACCATAGGCCTATAGCCCTTTGAGAAATGGAAAGGGGATTCTACACGAATATGAATTCATAAATCAAATTTTGCTCAATTATATGTGTAATTTCCGTATAATACGTTGTCCATACTCTGCCTTTGTTTTTAAGTTTAAACTTCTTTATACTGTATTTATAAATTATCAATTAGGCATGTTCTTATATTTGGTATATAGGCCTATCGCGGTAGAACATCCACTCTGCTAACACTCCATTCTACTAACGATTAATTTGAAAATATCAATAATCCATATAACACTTTAGTTTTTAAATATAACTGTTAATTTTGCCTTGCCCAACACAATTAATTAACGTATTAATTCAGGTCCAGTGGCGTATCTAAGAGTCTTTAAATGGAGGTCAGTGGAGGGTGGGGGAGGGGGTGGTGGCGAAGCTCACGTGGGAGGCTTGGTGTTAGGTGAGGGAGGGGGGATGGCGAAACTCACGTGGGAGGCTTGATGTTAGGTGAGGGGCGCTAGCTGGCAAAGTGATTTTAGGTGATTTTTATACCACCCTACTTGAGCGTGGTTTTTTGGGATGGGTTACTTTAGGGGTGGGGGAGCGCACCCTGGATACGCCACTTAGGTCAACAAAGAATTTCATTTAATGGTGCAATTATGGAACGATCTTTCCTTGTTACAATAGTGGCGGAGTTAGAGGGTGGCGTAAGGGGCGTACAAAAAAAATTGGTCTGTAAAGCTTATCGGAATCGCCAACAAAATTGTAAACATTAATGAGATAGCAACTAAGGTGCTCCGATTCGCCCCTTGCAGACCTAACAGGGGCTCTCTGCTGTTCGCACATTCACGCCCTCTCGTTTACCGAGCTGGATCCGCCCCTGTAGAAATCACTTGCAGAATAAATAAAGAAAATGTATTTATTACATATATTTCAGATCCATTTACTTACCTCAACTTATCACATACGTTTTTAATTTTATAATATAGTCTCATTTATAATGTTATTTATTTCATGTTCATGATTTGTTATATAGTACGTCCAGATAAATTTATTCAAATACTAGAATAATCGGTTTTCTATTGTTTTCATCAAGAAGGTATTAAGCTTAAATTAGTTTTATTTAACTATACCTCATCACCCTTTGTCAATGAAAAATGTTTTTAAATTTTGATATTGTTGACAGTAAAATTGAAATATTCAAAAAGCAATCCATTTTTAAATAATCAGACTGCCTCTCTATGAGGTTGTTTTAGTTCGGTAGGTCAGAGTTCTTTCCCTGCAACGATCTGCATTTTATAGATAAAATGAGAAATTCACTGTATAAGGCATACACTCACGATCACAGAGAATGAAATTGGCTTTGTTTTTAGTCAGAGCACTTTAGTGGCGAAAGTGGCGAAATGATGCGATTTGTTTGAACGCAGTGTTAGTTGTTATTGTGAGACTAATTGTTATTTCCAAAGCCATTGGCTTATTTTTTGTGTAAACACAACCCGATTGGTCAAAATTACACATGCGTTTTAAAGAGTAGTCGCTATGTCTAGCCACTGTATGTTCGAGTTTGCTTTCCGTTTTGGCTTATATTTCTGGGGTCAATTTAGTATTATTTCCTATCATTAATTTAATACAAAAGTACAGGAAGTTGTTTATTGTTAGCATTACACTGGTACGCATTAAAACAAAATTGATGCCTTTGGCAGGAGCATCGAAATGGATTCGTTTTGATGGTGTTTAATCTTCTGTTTTCCCTGATGTCAAATATCGGCGGCGTTTGACGGCGTGTTCTTCTCCTGTGGAATCGAGGTTCGGGCCTTCCTTTGGGGCTAGCTAGCCTACGACGTTTCACGCCATTTATACGTCATTTAGGGTCATTTTGGTAAGTTGTTAAGATGAGTGTCTACATAGCATCATTACCATTGGCAGACGATGCTTTAATTTGGCTTATTTATAATTAACGAACAGTTCATTTATTTACTAAAAAATAGCTAGGCCTAGTTAGGCAGGCTAGGCCTTGCCCAGGGCCTGCACAATATAATAATATGGCTGCTAGGCTTAGGGGTAGCCTAAGTTATAATGTTAAGTACTACTGTACTGTAGTTTGTTTAGGCTAGCTAGGCCTACCCTAGAGATCTCTCTCTCTCTGTTCTAGCTATATTGTATAATTGTTACAATTTATACAATTTTTATGGTTCCTACACAAAAATCTCCCGGAGACGCCTGTTCTGTGGTCGCCAGATAGCCTGAAATGAACGTCGGGGAAGTTGAAATCACCTATCATGATACGTCCATAGAAGGTACAATAGGATTGCTAAACTGAATATTAAGGCATGCGCTGGGAAATTATCCCCCGCGAAAAAATTTGTTCTAGAAATCCGTCTGTGCATTTCAGAAAATAAGGGCCGATTTCAGAGCAGATTTTGCCGAAAATTAGGTTTTTTTACCAAATCTTACTGTATGTAACCAATGCAATGAGGTTACAATGCAGCAATTAATTAAGATTTCGCGTACCTATTTTCCTAGAGATTGTCCACGCAATTAAAAAACTTTACAGTATGGTTGGATTGTTTTGGTCATGATGTACAGTATGGAACACAATTTGTGTAGCATGTATAGAGTCAAATTGGTTCATTGAATAAATATTATTTAACACATAAATAGATCCTTGTCATTGATTGGTGGATTTTATATCATGTGACATTAGTTTGTTACACCATTTTGTCACTCATTATGAAAATGTTTTGTTGCCATTGCTCAACTCGGCATCCTACACAGATTTAATTTAATCATGAAACGATGTCACCAAAAGCTAAGGTTCCATTATTCAATGCCCTTTGACATTTTCCAAGAAGGTAGGTTTTGTTTTGATTGACGAAAAAATGAGTGATCTTTTATGCAGTTGCGATCACAAGCAGTGGCGGTGCCAGTGGGGAGGGGCAGCATGGGCTGAAGCCCCCTACCGTGCAGGTCAAGCCCCCCCCCCCCATCGGACAGAGCTTGTCGGGCAGTTGGACTAAAAAATACATAAAAATAGGCCCAAGCCAACACATGTCTGTCACAATCAGAGCGTGTCATTTCTGGCCATCCAAAGGTTCCTATTCTTTAAAAAATCTCATTTGGGAGGAGGAACACCCTCCCAAACCCTTTCCCCAGCTCCGACCTACATCACAAGGATCTATTTTTAGGTTTTAGGTGTTGTATTTGTGCAATGGGGAGAATATTTTCATGTGTTGAGTGATTGGTTGATTGTTCCATTGAACTCTTTTATCTGAAGTCATATGAAAATGATTTTGGTGTCTATGTTTTTGAGGCCAATGAATTTATTAGTGGAGTCATAAATACCTAAAATATTTATTGTAGCGTTAAACATTTTAATTTTATGGGTTTTTTCTTAGGCATTCTGGTAAGAGTACAATATATACAAAAAATAATTATTAATTATTAATATTTTGCTGCCCATCCCAATGGGTTTGTTTCCTAAAGATTTTGCTTGCTTGTGGGGGTGGGGAGCCTATCCCTATTTCCGAAATACCCACAAAACATGGGAAATTTGGGACCTCTGCAAGTAATTTCCATTTTGGTAGTATTTTAGAATGCTCAATTGCTGAAATGATCAATACACATTCATGTAGGCTAAGGCTTATTCAATATGATTGAAATGTTCTTGATTGAAAATATCTTTTTGTAATTGTTTTTGTTTTGCAGGCACTAACCTTGCTTCTTACTGATTTAAGTGAAATGTCAGTCCAAGGATTTAATCCAAGTTTAGAGATGATGGCACCAGCCCCCACAAGTGCAGATGCCTGTCTAAGTATTGTGCACAGTCTAATCTGCCATAGGCAAGGTGGAGAACCAGAGAGCTTTGCCAAACGTGCCATTGAGAGTCTTGTGAAAAAGTTGAAAGAGAAACGTGATGAACTGGACAGTCTAATCACTGCCATCACTACAAATGGAGCTCACCCTAGTAAATGTGTCACCATTCAAAGAACACTGGATGGCCGCTTACAGGTAATTAACAATCCTGCATTCTTTGTTGTAATTAAATGATAGTTTTATTGGTATAGAATATGTAAATGTTACACAGATTAAACACTCTACAACCCAAATGTGTGTAGTACAGTATGCCATTGTAGATTAAAGATGCTGGATCTCACTGGATGGATGGATGCATGACATTACCCATACACTAATCTTAAAAAAAAAAAGCCTTTTCCTTTTCTTTGTATATTTTGCAAATACTTTTTAAAAGTATGTACTGTACACTGCACAGTGGTTTTTTTTTATATAATTAAATTGAATGCTTGTACAGTACAGTATGCATTACACATTCTATATCCAGTATCTTATTCTCTTTAAAGGTTGCTGGAAGGAAAGGATTTCCTCATGTTATTTATGCAAGAATATGGCGTTGGCCAGATTTGCACAAAAATGAACTCAAACACCTGAAATTCTGTCAATTTGCTTTTGACCTGAAGTGTGATAGTGTGTGCGTTAATCCCTACCACTATGAACGCATTGTTTCGCCAGGTATTGGTGAGTTAAATTGTTCCTTTTTATTAAATTTAGAAAAATGTAGCTGTATGAATGGTTAGAACATTAATTGCTAAGCCCTGTTCCTTGGAAGTTGTTGTTAAGGTCCCACCAAACTGCAGCATAACAACATACAGTACGAACACGTGCATTTGTGGGACAACACATGTGTTTGTAGGCTGCACAAATTTCTGGCTCTGTTCTGATTGATTAGTTGTTTTGATTTTGACACTCCAGGAAGGTTCATTGAGGCTCAACCCTGAAAATCGAGGGTTCAAACCTTGGAGGAAACAGTGTTAAGGAATAAGTCGTAAAAACTTGTAGGCGTGAACACCAATGCGCTGATTACTGGCAGCAATTCTCCCAAGAACCTTGTCTCTATGCACTGTAGAGAAAAGGAAATAGCAAAATCATACTGTATGTGTTTGATTAAATGGCTGTACAGGGTAGTGTAATGCTATTTCTAATACTCCTTGTATCATGATAGAGGCCTTGTTGGCATGATGCACTACTGTATATAAAAATGGGCATTTAGATATTTTATCACAGATAATATTGTTACAGAATTCATTGGTTTTTAAAAACAAATTTTGCATTATGGTTGGTACAATTTATCCGTTTGTGCGTACCTGTAATTTATATTTAGATGGTCTTGCGGATCTGATATATTGTTGTATAATATTGTAGCAAAATATCAATCAGGGATGTAGTTATAGTGGGTGGGTGGAGGTGGGCAGGGCCACCTAGCATTGGAGTTTTCCAAATAGTCTAAGGCTAATTACATGGTTCTCCGTCCACCTTTAAACTCCTTGCCCTACCTTAAAAACTCTTTTTAGAGTTCACCAATACCAATGTATGTTATTGGATTTTAACTGCAATTTGTTCTCCAAATATTAGATCTGTGATGGTACTGTTGCATGAGTATGCCAGAACAACATTTTTCTCATTGCAATGCTGCCCTCTAGAGATTACTACAGTACTACATACCATAATCTTAAAACTGGTACAGTAGTTGCTAAATACAACGGGTTCAGCCAAGGGGGCGTGGCTTGTACTGTATATATGATCATGTATAATTATGCCGTCTACCAAAAAACACATCACACTACACTACACTGCTGTGCTGTGTGATGGTGTGACCATTGTGAATTTAGCAAGGCGAGCATGCTGAGCGGCAGTATTGTTTCAAAGCAGTGAACACTAAAAAAAAAAAAAAAAAAAAAATCTGAACTTCTGCAGTCATGTTGTAAAAGTTGCAATTTTAATTTATTAGGCCCATTTTCTCTTCCAGTAAGATAATTTGTTCATAGGATTAAGATTGGAAAATCCATAGACTAAGTATTACAGGGGTGGTTCCAGGATTTGCCCGACGAGGGGGTCGATGCCCCCCACAAAAAAAGCGGGCGTGGTCGGGCGTCAATATCTGTCGAAAGTGTTCTCCCACCCTGAAACAATTTTTGGTTTGAAAGGCTTACTTAGTCGATTTTAGTGATTTTTGGTGTACTAATAGAATACATTACATTTTTCTCACCGACGAATTGTGGTTTTTCTCCCCGACAGGGGGGGGGGGGGAAGCCAGCCCCCCCCCCCCCCCAAACAGCTGCCGCCACCCCTGCTAAGTACAGTATTTATAGTAGGGCCTAGGCCATTGAATTGTTTTCATTTTCTGTCTGTGATTAAGGCCTAATTGTACCGCTAAAATAAGACTAACTAGGCCTATTGTATGTATTATTTCACTCTGTGTAGGCCCCCATGAATTGATAATATTGGGATCCCAATTTTTTGGAAAGAAAAACACACAGGGACAACTTATTTTTTCTTACATTGGTTGTACCATGAAGGAGTTAGTTGTACGGACTGTATTTTGCTATGATGTGCGATTACAGACAGGGCCCACACTTTGTCGAGGAATACAAAACATAGCTGAAGTTTTGCATGACGTCAACATACGTAGCCACGCCCCCTCGGCTGAACCCGTTGTATTTAGCAACTACCCTTAAAACTGATCATAGAGATTTACTCAAAATATTTATTCTTTATTTGACAAAAGAGCAAAGTAAAATAGATTGGTGGTTCATATATCAAGGAGCCTTCTCGATTACATCGCTGGGGACAGCTACTGTACCAGCTATCCCCATCTTGTAGCCATTTTATGTAAAGCAATAATTAACAATATAATTTCCATGCCTTGATTAAATTATTGATATCTGAATAATTTGGACTTGGTATGCACTTAACTATGAATCTATGTCCCTGGTTCAAAGCCATGCAAACACTACAGCTGGTGTACTGGAATGTTAGTCCTAACATATTATAAAATGAATTAAAGTGATGATATGACCAACATTATAATACTTTTAGTAGTATAATGCTTTTAGACATTGCTACTGTAATTTTTAAAGTATAAGTAATACTATTTATAACAATATTTACATTGCAAAATTGGAGGGATAACTTATTCTTTGATTATAGGTGTTTTGTAAAAATGTTGATACTGAAAATTATATTATGAAAGTCAGAACATAGTCCTTATATTTCCCTAGGCATAGTAGAACCTAAGAGAGCATGCAAAATAAATCTGAGAGTTTTTTTTTTTCTTGTTTAATTTTTTTTTTTTTAAATTATAATCATTATATGTTTTTTCTGTCTTACTGCAGCCCATTTTCGGCTTGCATAGATCGATGGCACTTATAATGCTTTTTATTTAATTATTGCAGTATTTTAGCCATAGGCCATCTAATTCTGATTGCCGAATTGGTCTATAAATGATTTAAAGAGAGAATTAAAAATTCAATAATAACTGGTTCGCAAAATTTTCTTTCATGTGTTTTCATAGTTTTTTTCCTATTCATGAGTACAACATAACAGAATTTTGTATTACGTAATCTCAATTATTGCACTTATATTATACATATTTTTTTTATAGATTTGTCTGGACTAACACTTCAACATACAGGTAAGATAGTCCTTTATTCATCTTCCTTTTTTTGATTGTTTCTAAGATCTTAGTTCTCAAAATCTGTTACAATTGTTCACCATCTAATCTCAAGCAGAAAATGTGATGAAGGAAGTGTAGGGAAGGGGTTGGAGGGGTTGGTATGGTGTAAAAAGTATATGGTATATTTTTTTTTTTATTAAAAATTAATTTTTTTTGCTCCTCAACAAATTGTGTTTTTTCTCCCTAACAATGGATATGGGGGTGGGGAAACTCTCCCCAACAGAACCCTGGCCCCACCTCCCGCCACTATGTCCTTGAACATACTCTTAATACTGTTGACTCCAGCCTGCTACAAGTACAGGTACATTAGCATTTAAAGTTACTGTACGAAAATATACTGGACCGGCTGTAGCATTCCATTGATTCCATAGAGTAGAAAAAAAGAATGATGCAAAGAGAAGTTAAATATTAAAGCTCTCTATATTTTGATTCATCCCACAAAATGATGTAGTATTTCTGTAATATTTGTTCAGATGCAATTGAAAACAAAATCTGGCGTTAACAATTACTGTACACCAATTGTTAATTCTTCTGTATTGATTTTTCAATATCTGGCTCTCACTGTGTTGAATAGATTTTTGTCATACAAGGTCGGAGTATTCTACTTAATTTTATCATATCATCTGCAGCATTCGCTTCATTAACATTAGTTGGTATTGGGGCTCATTTAATATTAATGAATTAAACTTAGTTCATGGTTAAAAACATTATATGTATTGATTATCTTGGGATGTATTTTTTGTATCTATCTCTACTCGTAATATGATTGGTTAAACCTGGTGAGCATCGAAGGTTAAATTGCACCTACATTGTTTCTGGAGGAAAGATAGAGCGATGTAAAGTTCAAGTATGGTATAGAACGGCCAGCAGTAGTAGCCAATTGCATGGCTTCAATGTTTCTTGCAATTAACCCTTGGCATTGAGCATTAACCCGAACCTTGCTGTTGCTTTATAAAAGGCATCGCAGAAGCCAGAACATCATTCGAGCTACGAATGACAATATAGCAACAACTAAAGAAATCATACAAGCAACCTGCTATTTAAACATGTGCCGAGCAAGCTCAGTTAGAATGGAGGAGAAAGATTGTACACCAACTGTAGCAGTTGAAGACGGCTTTGAAGAACCAATTCAGCTGTACAGAAAACGCACGATGGTGGTTCCACCTCTTGTTATTTCAAATTCAGAGTCTTTACAAATATCTGTTAATGAAGACAACTTTAAAAAAAGTGACAACTTTTGTAGTCCAGCCTTATGCACGCCAGTCAGCAGCAATTTACCAATTGCAAAAATGATGAATGGATCGACAGAAAGATTTCTTTTTGTGGAAACATTTACTCAAGAAAAAATTGGATACGATGAGCCAGACTTTTACGTAGACATTGATGGCGATGTACAACCAGAAAAAACTCCAGAACAAGAAGCTGCAGAGATTGCTGTCACAGAAGCTTTGAGCAGAATTGGTGATAACATTGAAAAGAATTATCAGATGAAAGGAGAATATATATTTGCAAGCCTTCTGAGCTCAATTACAAAGACAATAAAATGTCAACAAATTGTTGAGAATTCAGATGGAACAGCAGTTTAATTGAAACTTTAAAGAAGGGTGCTAGAGATAAAATTTAGACCAACTGGTCTTCTAATGGCTTTACTAAAATGAAGTGAAGGAATGCCTTTTCTACTTTACCAAAGACAATCGGAATTTGAAGTGCAATGATTTAGCCTATGCTGTACAGTACAAATATACTTTTTCATGGCAAGAACTATGCAGTAGATGTAGTACACTTTTGAATGTACTGTAGCAAGAGATGAAACGTGAAACGATATAGTTACTAAAGAATCTAGTGAATGAATACTTCATATATTATGCTAATTATAATTGAAATCTGAAACAAGAATTAGCAACAAAGACTACATTTTGTTATTCATGGCAGCTGAAGTTATATTGCAGCTGATATTGATGAAGGGGCTGCAGAATGTACTTAAGAAAGTTAAAATACTACTTATATTTTAATCAATTATATGTAATGTAATTTTAATTTTTTTTTTAAGAACTAAAATATTGTGTGATATTTTTCTGTTATAGAATTTTTTTATAGAATTTATCTATTGATTTATGATTTATAGTGAATGTTTACAGTTTTAGTAATGTATTATAACAACTCATGAATTACCTCAAGCAAATCAGTCTTCCAGTAAAATTTTGAATGGAAAATAAAATGGTGCTATTATTTACCAAAAGAATAACTTGTTCTACTGTGTTTCTTACGACTTATATTTTTATAAAACAACAAAAATAATTTATAAAGTATATTTCAGAGTTGATGTTGGGTATCACAGTGCGTGTGTGTGTGTGTGGATTTAAATAAAAAATAACACATTTTACTTCACGATATGAAGTTGTCGGAAGTTTCCAATATTCAGAAAAAATTCTCCTGCATATTTTACATTGTTTTTAATTACCATTACAATACTCTGAATAAGTCAACAAACTACTTACAGTCGGAACCAACTTGTAGCAGCAGCAGACCTCCTATATGAATGTCAGACAAATGAAAATTTTCAAAATGATAATTGAAATTTGATTGAATATTCCACTGTAAATCATACTTTTTAAAATATGTCCTACTGTACTGTATTCACCCCACCTGTATTTTAGTATTGCGTAGCCTATACATGTGACGTGTAATTGAACATGAGACAATCAGACAATTCAAAACACAAAATAATTTTCAATTTTTACTCTGCCTGTTAACCATAGATAGATTCTAATATAATAAATTTATTGGTTTCTCTCTTTTATAACTTAAAAAATAACAGTGTATCTACGAGTCAGATTAATTATGTTATCAAATAGTTTGATAACATTGAAATTGATAAAACATTTAAAGCAAGCATATAGGGGAAAAATTTATATCAGGCAGTATTCGTCTATATCATGACAAGACGCCAAGTTTGTGGATTGAATCAATTTGAAGGTCTAGTGATCATGCAAAGTCGTGTAATTGAGCCTAAACTCATTTTCCTATTTCCTATTTGCTGCAATATTTCTTTTGATTTGATTGAGCATAGCTGCAATATGCAAGTTAATATAGGCCTAGTCATCAAAAACAGAATGGAAATATTATTTTAGGCTTCTTGTATCAGGCCAGATAACATGCATGGCCATTTCCAGCCCTGTAGGCCACCTGTTGGAAACCTCTGTTTTATATTGATTGTACTAATAATTATACTAACTTAAAAGGTTGTTTAAATAACCAGGAAAAAAAACTGAGCAAAAAAAAAACTTGTAAAACAGTAGGAAAAAAATATTGATGCTTGACAATACCCTACTGTATATAGCCAAGCATCAGTATTTGTGTCTGAAAAAGATCTGTAATTTTTTAGAGTTGGTCTTTCATATTTGATTGTCTGCTGCAGGACAGTAGCAGCATAACTTGAATATAGAGACTTTAGCTCAAAAATTCTAAATAAAAAAGGAGAATGACAATAGAAAAATTTCCTTCTGACTAGTAGCTAAAGGTTATGCTATGCCAACCTTGTTTCCTTTGATGGTCTGGCACTGTTAAAATAGCAAAACAACATTTAGAAGAAAGTTAACAACAAATACTAAACTATTCATTTTCCTTCCCATTCTGAAGAATTGTATTTAATCACACAAGGTCAGAGTATCCAGCTTGTTTCACTCACACTAAGGTAGAGACCGCTTCAATATCATTGGTTGATATTGGTGCTCATTTAATATTAATGAATATGAACCATTTAGTTCATGGTTGCCAACATAATACATTTATTGATTTTTTCTGTTAGTTTACATTTATTTGTAGGGAATTGTATCCGGTTAGACCTTGTCAGTAATCATCATTATGGAATGGTTAGTAGTAGATAGCCAGAGTAATGCCTTTAATGTTTATTGTGCTTATCCCTTATATTTTGTTTTCAGCGAACCAAGTAATGATAAAAATTGTAATGTTTATTAGTGGACATTTATATAGTGCATAATAACTGATCTCTGTATGAACAATTAAAAAAAAAAATCAGCTTCAAAGACCAAACAACACTCATCATTGGCAGCCCAGTCACAAATGACATATGCAACAGGCACTCATGGAGAGGGATATGCATTGTTAGAATTATATTGTTTTATTTATTAGTCAGTGCATTTAATTTTAGCCATAGTATCGATTTGATAAATAAAGAAAAACAACAGCACAATAATACCAGCAATAATAATAATAATTACTAATAAAAATAATAGTAAGGTAATGAAAAAAGTAAAAAGATAAAGGAAGAGGCTGATAAGAACAATGTACTGTTGGTGGGTTTTTAGACATAGTTTGAAAAGAGAGTGAAGTTGTTTAAAAGTTGTTTGAATCAGCCTTTCCCGTACACTTTAGGCAACATATAATTGTGAATGTAGAGTTGTGGTTTGGGGTGGATCTTAGTTCCATGTCTGCAAATGTAGTAATTAGGTAAATATAATAATTGATTACAAGGGAACAGTTTAGCTCAGTCAGCTGAACTTGTGGTAGCTACTATGGGGGAATTGTTGTAACTGCGTGCAAAGTGTCTTGCCCGTGGTCTATTTCCAACTAAAGCACAATCCCTTATCGCAATGCTACAGTAACTCACCCACACCATTTAGGTATAAACTAAAGTATGAAGAAGTCACTTGTAAAAAGTTAATGTACCTTGAATTAACCAAGTTCATACATTACATTCAAAAGCTACGTTCTGACATTTGGAGAAAGTATGTCTACTGTACACAAATACTACTTGTTCATCTTCCGTCTCTCTACAATTAACTCTATTCAATCGTACAAGGTCAGCATATTAGGCTTTCTTCAATCAGGTCACAGCAGCGTTGATTTCAATATCATTGGTTGATATCGGTGCTCATATAATATTAATGAACTAAAGTTCAGTTCACAGTTGGCACACATAAGAAATATATTGATTT